ACCATAAAGTAGACCATTTCAGGACCATAAACTAGACTACTTCAGGACCATAAACTAGACCACTTCAGGACCATAAACTAGACCACTTCAGGACCATAAACTAGACCATTTCAGGACCATAAACTAGACCACTTCAAGACCATAAACTAGACAATTTCAGGACCATAAACTAGACCAATTTAGGACCATAAGCTAGATTAATTTTGGATCATAAGCTAGACCAATTTAGGACCATAAACTAGACCACATCAGGACAATAAACTAGACCAATTTAGGACTATAAACTAGACCACATCAGGACCATAAACTAGACCAATTCAGGACCTTTGGCCGGACCACTGCAGGACTTTTAACTTTAGCACCTCATGGCCTTTGGACTGTTCCAAGACTATAAACTAGACCGCTTCAGGAACTTTGTTTAGGCATATTGTCCCAGTCTCAGATCTCTGGAAGACTCCATCAGGTTCCCCTTAACGCTGCAAATTCAAACTCATTTCAAAAAAACTTTATTGATCCCAGAGGGAAATTAGGTCCCTCTTGATGAAAACCATCCTCGCACCATGYTTCAGTATTGTTCCAGAAAAATGAACCAACTGGTTTAATTTCAGCATAAAACCYCCACAAAACCTGAATGAAAGGTTTAGCTTCCTGTCTGGGTTATTTGAATTTTGTTAGCTTGTATTAAACCTTTAACTCAGTCTTACTTTACACCTTTGTTTTTAAATGTCTGTCTGGAGTTTCCAGATCCAAGAATGTGTTGAAGYTTGAGAAGATGATGCATGGAGCTAACCTCTGTCCTTGTTGAAACATGGATTGTTCAGGTCTTTGTCTGCCCCTCAGTGTCAACATTTTCCTATAGTCCATAGTTCTGGGTTGAGTGCTAGCATGGATGTTTGACCCGGTTTGGTCTGTTTCTGTGATTTATGCGTTCTGTTTGCATGAACCGGTCTGAAAAGGTTCGGTTTTTCTTCATCCCTCTTGTCTTTCCCTCCCTCTAAGAGCTCCTCGACACACAAGAAGTCGAAGAAGAAGAAGAAACACAAACACAAAGACAGAGACGTATGTAAATGGGTCTAAATGTAAAACAGACCCAGATATTCAGAACCAAAAGGGGAATGAGCTGTTTGTTTTTGTTTTTATTTACAGAGAAATGGCTTTGATGATGATTACAGCCTCCTGTCCAGCAGGGTTAGTAGCTGAGTGTTTAACTAATCCTAAAAATAAAAATAAAACACAAGTCGAACTGAATTTTACATTAACTGAACCAAAACAGAAACAGCCAGGAGCTGCTGATAAAAAAAAAAACCTGATGATCTTTGGCCTGAGGCCTGTAGGGCCTGGTTTCTCTGAACACTGTGTGGCAGAATAACAGGCTTCTATAGAACCTGGTTCTGTCTTAGATTCAGGTCGTAGATAAACCTGGTTCTGGTCGGGATGTTTTCTCTGTAGCCTCGGTGTTTAACTTGTAAACCCGAGAGCAGCTGTTAGAGTTTCGGCTGATGTTTGTCGTCTTCTCTCAGAGCTCCAGACTGAGCGACGAAAGCCGAATGTCTCGAGCCTCCAGATCAGACCTGCAGCCGGTGGGTGACACTGCCCCGGGACCGGTTGGTCCTGGTGTTTTCTGCTGTGGTCCGGGTGACGTTAGTCTTTGGCATGGCATGAAGTTCACTGACCAGATTCACTTAGTTCATCAAAGTGTGATTAAACATTTTTGTTTGTTTGTGTTAACCTTGATCTTTCTTAAAAATCAAAAATACACGCACTTTGTTTTTCTGGGCCAACGCCGATTTTCAATCCGTCAGACTCAAAACCTGCATGTTAGGTTCACTGGTGGCTCCAAATTCTCCTTAGTTGAATGTGAGAGGGTGAATGATTGTTTCTATGTGTCCCTCGATGGACTAGAGACTTGTCCAGGTGTCCCTCCATAAATGCACGGTTTGAATTTGTGCAAAATATTTGTTGGATAGAAAAATTGATATTTGAACCTCTTTGTTCTTTTTTGCCTTCTTTCTTGGGTTTCATTCTTCCAGYCTTCTTATGCTTCCTCTGACTTGTACAGTCTGAACAGTCTGTCTTCCAGAAACCAGGGCTCAACTTTCAATGGCCACCAGGTCTGTACCCCAACTAACAACCAGACTCACAACCAGTTTAATGACCAGACCAATGACCAAAATAACGAACAAACCAAAGACCAGCCAACAACCATACCAACAGCCAGGCCAACACTGACCTGACCATTGATCCAAACTAACGACTAGACTAACAACTTGACCAAAGACTAGACCAACGACCTGACCAACAACCAGACCAATGCCAATGACCAGACCAAAGACCAGACCAACACCAGACCAATGACGCAACTAAAGACCAGGCCACTGACCCGACCAATGACCAGACCAACACCAGACCAATAACCTGACCAATGACAGGGCCAACGACCAGAGCAACGGCCAGGCCAGCAAATTGACCAACGACCCAAACGATGACCAGACCAACGCTCTGACCAGTGTCCAGACCAATAACCTGACCAACAACCAGACCAATGCCAACGACCAGACCAAAGACCAGACCAACACCAGACCAGTGACACAACCAAAGACCAGGCCACTGACCCGACCAACAACCCGACCAATGACCAGACCAATGCCAACAACCAGACCAAAGACCAGGCCAACACCAGACCAATGACCTGGCCAATGACAGGGCCAGTGACTCGACTAACAACCCAACCAATGACCAGACCAATGCCAATGACCCAACCGATGACCAGACCAATGCTCTGACCAATGTCCAGACCAATGACCTGACCAACGATCAAACCAACAACCAGCCCAACGACCTGGCCAACATGCGTCTAAACCACTTACTAGACCCACAACCAGACCAACAACCAAACTAAAGACCAGACCAATGACTAGACTAACAGATAACCATTAAAATTAAAACCATGAGATGTCGGGCCATTCTTTGATTGGTCATTAGGAAATTAACTGATTCTGTTGTTTTTCTTGCCATCATGCTTCTCTTTTAGCTCCGCTTCAATCAAATCTACCAGCAGTTCTGTCGTCGGGTTGGTCTGCTTCAATTTTAGCCAGCTTGACATCACTCTTACCTGTCACACATTTCACACTTGCATGACCAACTAAAATGTTGCCCGTCTGACCGGTTTTTAATTTTCACTCCGCACTGATTTCACAAAATGTTTGAGTCAGAAGATGTCACCTCTGAGCAGATCTGTTGTACCAAACCGATATGAACGTGTTAATATGATCGTGTGCAGATCTCAGGTCTGTGCAGCGGCCAACATTAAGATGATTCAACAGTTTAGTTGTTTAACTAATGAAAGGTGTCCAGACTGACACCTGAAACCGTTACCTGGAGGACCTCTGCTCACCTGTTCAAGCTCAATGTGATGAAATAAAACTGATGCTAATGTTTGCCTCAGGGTTCCTGAACTTTAACTGTTGGGATGTTTTTTAGTGACAGAAACATAACGCTGTCTTGTTTCTTCAGCCTTTAGAGTATAGTAGTTACCGCAGCTCCCGGGCCTCGAGCAGGACCAGCTCAGCCCGGACCAGTCCAGTGGTGAGAGCCGTGTTTGTGCAACAATACCTGTTGATTTGGTTCCATTAACTGCATGGACTTAATAACCAGAGTGTAGCTTAACTTAAGTTGAGATGGTGTGGAAAAATACAAAGAGGGAAAAGGTTCAGTCCAACTTCCTGTGACCCGTTTAAAGTCTGAAGCATGGTTCTGTGATCAAGTCTGTAGGTATTTTCCGTACCAATCCTCTGCTGTGTGAACCCGATCAGAACCTGTTGGGCCCAGCTGTCAAAGCGACGCCCTGTTTGTTGAATTATTTAAAACGTTCAGCTGTTTTCTGTTCAAAGAGCCGATCAGGTGTGTTTCCAGGTGAGGCTGGGAGTTTAAAGCATGTTTGGAATTTGTTGTGAAGCTGAAATTGTTGCACGTTTCAAACAGCTGAGGTGAAACTAAAAAGGTTCAGCTGCTTTTTTTATTTTATGTTTTGCTCGTTTGTGATGATTATTTCCTGCATGAAGTCGGCCGAAACATTCGAAACTCCTGTTTCCGGACTTCTGCTGTTTTTAATGTGGAAAATGTACTTTTATTTTGGGTTTTCTTGCTCTGTTTCGCCCCCTGCTGGCCGTTCAGGATAACTGCAGCTCAGTTGCCAGTTTTCTGAGGAGCGCCGGCACCACAGACCTGGACCATGTTTCTATTCCAGACTTTTGTGAAGTGAGTGGATTTAAAGGAGGCCGAAGTTTCTGCTTGGTTTTTGTTGTTGACTTCGACCTCAAACAGTGAAATGATTTTTGTTTTTATTTGTGATGAAACTAAAGGACTGGTGAAGGTGTTGTGTTTGCAGAGGTTTCTAACACTTTACTGTCTGTTTTAATAATTATTCACTTGTTTAGACGAACGTTTGACGTTTTGTTTTGTTTTTACTCTATTGTTTTTGTCTGGAGATGTTTACGTCRAGCTCGTCCTCATCACCGTCTTCTGTTTGTTCTGATTGTTTGTTCTTTCTCTCCACAGGTGGAGGACAAAGATTATCACGAGAAGGTGAGGAGCCAGCGCCGCTTCAATTATCAGACATCATATTACTGTGCAAAAGTCTTGATCTAATCCTCATTTACTCATAGTTACTCCTAAGCAGCCACYTTTTTTCATTCACAATATCAAAATAAATCTTTATCAATATAAAGCTCAGAAGCAAAAAATTAAAAAATACTGGAATTTGCAAAACAAAAGAAAAGTAGCTCCAGTCATTTCTCATAAAATCTAAGTTGAAATAGATCGTGGCAACTCTGTATGTTAGATTTTTTCCAAAACATGTATTAAAAAAGTAAAGATTGAGAGCAACCAGAACACAAAAAATTTACAACCATTAGGAGACCCCCTCACAAAACTGTTTGCCAACAAATCACCAACTAGTTTCCAACAGTCGCCAACTAGATACCAACAACACCATCTAGATGCCAACTAACCATCAACTAGTCACCAATCACGCCAACAGTCACTAACTTGCCACTTACAATCACCAAATTGTTACCAACTAGTCTCCATGTTACCAAAGTTGCTAAGTAATCACCAACTACCCTCCAACAGTTGTCAACTAGTTACCATCAATCACCAACTAGTTACCATCAATCACCATCTAGTTACCATCAATCACCATCTAGTTACCATCAATCACCAACTAGTTACCATCAATCACCAACTAGTTACCATTAATCACCAACTAGTCAGCAACAATCACCAACTACAGTAGTTACCATCAATCACCATATAGTTACCATCAATCACCAACTAGTCAGCAACAATCATTAACTAGTTACCATCAATCACCAACTAGTTACCATCAATCACCAACTAGTCAGCAACAATCACTAACTAGTTATCATCAATCACTAACTAGTCAGCAACAATCACCAACTAGTTACCATCAATCACCAACTAGTTACCATCAATCAACATGTAGTTACCATCAATCACCAACTAGTCAGCAACAATCACTAACTAGTTATCATCAATCACCTACTAGTCAGCAACAATCACCAACTAGTTACCATCAATCAACAGCTAGCTACCATCAATCACCAACTAGTTACCATCAATCACCAACTAGTCAGCAACAATCACTAACTAGTTACCATCATTCACCATCTAGTTACCATCAATCACCATCTAGTTACCATCAATCACATCTAGTTACCATCAATCACCAACTAGCTACCATCAATCACCAACTAGTCAGCAACAATCCCTAACTAGTTACCATCATTCACCATCTAGTTACCATCATTCACCATCTAGCTACCATCAATCAACATCTAGTTACCATCAGTCACCAACTAGTTACCATCAATCGCCATCTAGTTACCTTCAATCGCCAACTAGTCAGCAACTATCACTAACTAGTTACCATCAATCGCCAACTAGTCAGCAACAATCACTAACTAGTCACAATCAATCACCATCTAGTTACCATCAATCACCAACTAGTCAGCAACAATCACCAACTAGTTACCATTATTCACCATCTAGTTACCATCAATCACCATCTAGTTACCATCAATCACCAACTAGTTATCGTCAATTGCCAACTAGTCATCAAGAACGCCAACAACTGTCAACTAGTTGCCGTCAGCCCCAGCCCAGTAGGTGACCGGCTCGTTAGGAACGACTCTCAGCTGCTGCCGTCTCACTGTAGCTCAGTTTCTGTAAAACTCGCAGAATTTTAACCAGGTTATCTGTGGCGGCCATCTTGAATCTGAGTCACTTGTCATACATCAGAGTTTCATCAAAGCCTCTGCAGTGCTTCATGAAATATTTTGCTAACAGGCTGTTCGGTTCTGATCCGTACGTCTGTGTTTTCAGGGATCTCGAGCAGCCTCCGCCCTGACGGTGACCACCCTCACTTCTGGAGACACGGCCCTGACTGTGGACGCTGAGAGCGCCGTGCGGGAGATTAAGGTCCGATTCTGTGGAACCAGAACAAAAACATGAAACCTGTTTCAGATCTTTAGACCTGACAGAGTAAAGTTCTTTTATTTTAGTAAACCAGAGGCTTCTCTCTGAGCTTTCTCTTTTCATTCTTCCTCTGCAACGTTTCTGCTTCATCTTCATGGTCACTCTGTGTTTCTCTGCTCACCACTGCTACTGCTAACTGCTGCTGCTGCTGCTGCTGCTGCTTCGCTCCACCAGGAGATTCATGAGCTGAAGGATCAGATTCAGGACGTGGAAACCAAATACCTGCAGAACCTGAAAGAAGCCAAGGTACTGAGGCTGGGCTCTGTGCTGCTAACCTGAACCGTTTGTTTTTCTGTTTGATTATAATTTAATCAGATTAAATCAAATCTGCAGATTAACAAACAAAATGCTTCTTAATAACTTCAAGCTGCTTCCATTCTGAACTTTCTCTTTGTTGTTTCGTACAGGTCAGGTGTCTCGTTTTTAGCTGTTTTTCTGTCTCACGCTCTTCTGTCGCCTCAGGATGCGTTGGCAGAGGTTGAGGAGAAGTACCGTAAGGCCATGGTGTCCAACGCCCAGCTGGACAARGAGAAGAACAACCTGATGTACCAGGTGGACACGCTCAAAGACTCGCTGATGGAGCTGGAGGAGCTACTGTCCGAGTCGCGCCGGGAGCACCAGGACAAAGTCCGGGTAAGGAGAGTTAACGTCTCCGTGGCCCCGCCCTGAACGCCGTCGCCTGGTTGGGCGGGTAACTCACGTCCTGGTCCTCTGCAGGAGCTGGAGCGGGAGAAACACGCCCACGGCGTTCTGCAGTTCCAGTTCAGTGAAATGAAAGAGACGCTGAAGCAAAGCGAGGAGCTGCTAAACGTGAGTCCAGAAAGGTTCAGAGGGAGGCTGCGCTCGGTTCTCTGCACACTCTGCTCGCACGGTTTCCTCTTCCTGTCTGTGCACATCATAAACCTCTTCTTCCAAACTGTCCCCGGTTCTCCCGGTGTGTAGGAGATCCGTCAGCTGCGTTTGAAACAAGACGGTTTCGTTAGAGAAATCTCTGACCTGCAGGAGACGGTGGAGTGGAAGGATAAAAAGATCGGGGTACGAGGACCCCCTCGTTAATTTAAAGACCAGAGTTTCGTCTTTGCATGAACTTTGTTCACATTTCCTTCTCTCTGCTCACCCTCTGCATGCCGCCTCGGCCGCTCAGGCTCTAGAGCGACAGAAAGAATACACGGACGCGATCCGGGTAGAGCGAGACGAGCTCAGGGAGGAGGTGGTGAAGCTGAAAGATGTTCTGAAGGTACTCCGCTTCCAAACCGGACCGCTGCGCCTCCTCCTCAGGAGCGCTAACGTCCGCCCCTTTTCTGTGCAGAAACACGGCATCGTGCTGGGACCCGATCTGAGCGTCAACGGGGACGCCGGCGAAGCGGCGGAGAGCCCCGGAGCGGAACCCCCGCCCCACTCTGCTCAGGACCCACAGACCCCGCCGACGGAAGGGAACAGCATGCTGGGTAAGAAAAGTTCCAGGTTTCCACGCTGCATGGCTTCGCAGGCGAAGAGTTTCACCTTGGCCGACCCGCCGGCGCCTCTCTCACTCTCGCACCTTCCAGTAAATGTCTGATTTGGGAGTTCTCCTATTTTTTAACGCAGATTGTTTTGAGTTTTCAGATGATCTTGGTGATCCTCTGTATTTCTCTCAAAACTAAAAAGTTTTATCTGTGTAAGTTTGTTTTTTTACTTGTTTTTCTTCAGGGACTTTTGGTTCTCAAGTACTAAAATCTCTGAAATCTGTTTGAACTTCTTGTTTTAGTCTTTCAAATCTTAACAAGGGAACTGGAAATTAGCTGCTGGCTGATGTTTTGTGCAAAGCAATGTTTTCAGAGTTAGGTGAGCGGATCAATCAGGAWTCAAAGCTTTAACCTTTGTGTTGACGCCTACAGTTAAATTAAGGTGAGGGAGCTCAGGTATCTGATCACACAGGATTCCCACGGATCCTTAAAAAGTTTTAAAAAGCATTGAATTTGTAAACCAAAAAATAAGGTCTTAATTAGCCTTAAAATATCTTAAATCAATCTTTCAGAAGTCTTAAAAATGTTAACACATTTTAAGTAGGATGATTGTAAATTGTCTCAAATATTAAAATAATTAGTAACATTTATGTTATATTTTTTTAATCATTTGCAGAATTTTTCTCGTAGCTAGTTGTTCTGTGTTAAAATAAACATTTGGGTAAAATTGTCACCGTTTTTTTTTCCGCATTTTTATTTATTGTGAATTGAGTCTTAAATTTCATTTCAGGTGGCATTAAAGAGGTCTTAAAAAGTCTTAAATATAACTTGTAGGAACCCTGTCACAGCTTGTCATCTGTTAGAGACAACTTTCAGCTACTACCACACCTGGACACAGTTCTGCTAATCGCGGAACTGGCTCCTCATTTAGCGGATTTGCTTTTTGCTAACTTTAGAAACCGTTAGCGGCTCAGTTGGCTTCCACTTTCAGTCCACTAAAAAAATTGTTAGCGTTAAGCTTCAATTTATTTTGCCATTTGTCCCAAAATAAATGAAAACTATCCGCTATTATAAGCAGTGTTGGATGTGTCAGGCACAGTGTGTTAGCATGTAGCATCTTTAGCAGCTAAGCATCAAATTAAAAGCATCAAAGATAAATAAAATAACATTCAACAATATTTAAATAACAAATYCAAAAACTGACTACTAAACATATGGTAGAGGAAGTATTTGTTGTGACGGTATTTATAAAAACACTACCTCGATCAAAGAAATGCTTTTATTCTGAAAGAGTTAAACTGGAAGTATCACAAGTTAGACGGAGCTAAAACTCTTGTTTGGATTGGCCGATTTGCTACYGATGACCCCACCCACCTTCAAACTAAACCAATAGAAAACAGGCTTGTATCAGTCCTGATAAATGTCTTAGCGGTTAGCGTTAGCTTCCTCTAATATTTTATCTGCTTAGTGTTAGCAGAGCTAACATTCTTGTTTAACGGGTTAGAYGCTAGTGAAGCTAACGAAGTTAGCTCTGACCAGACCAAACATCCAGTCAGTATTTGTAGAATCGACAGGTTTGGYATCGTTTTCTTCGCTGAGGTCCATTATCTGTGGCGACCATCTTGAATCGGGTTGAAAATACTGAGAATCACCACTTTTCGAGCTGAAGGCTTCATCCGTCTGACATCATGCTTTGCCTTAAAGAAAACTAACATCTCATTTTTCACATTTTCTTTCTTTTCCTTGGCTCCTCTCGTYCCTTCATCACCATTTAGCCGATATAATCACAAACACTAACTAAAYCGGGAGGTGGGTTTGGATGGTTTGAACCATTTATCAACGAAACTGTTYGTTTGTGATTATTGTGAAGATCCAATCTGAGACTTCTTTATTTGTCCTGCTGAGATGGTGTTCTTCCTGCCTTTTTCTTCTTCTCCTGCTTCTCTRGGACGTCTTGGTTCTTCTGCTTCTCTTTCCGACGCTCAGAATCAGTCAGGTCTTTCATTTCTGCTGCTGCGCCTCCTGATGATGAAGATATTGAAAGTCTTTTTGTTGGCCTTCTGTCATCGTGTGCTCTCCGTGATCTCTCAGGCAGCAGAGAGGAAGAGGAGGCTGCCGAGCAACAACAACAAAGACTCGAGGAAGACGAGGAGAACATGCTCTGTAACACCGTCCAACTAGAACCTTCARTTGAAGAACATCCTTCAGAAGAACAAGACGAGGTTGATACAGGAGGAACTGAGCTCAGCCAGAACTCAACCGTCAACACCATCTCTCCCGCCTCTGCAGCTAAAGTTGTAATTATTGTCAGACGTGACCTGGACCAGGTCCAAACATGTCCCAAAGAAKGTGTCCCACTGGAGGACATGCCTGAGAAGAAAAGTTCAGGTTTAACAGAACTGACCGATGTCAACACAAACGTTACGGATCTGAAAAGCAAACAGGAAGCTGCTGAGGAGAACAACTTTAAAYCTGAGTTAAATCCAGAGAAAGAAACCGTTCCCAACGCCCAACCTCTGCAGGAACCGGAGAACTCAGAAGAAGTGTACGAAGCCGAGGAACCATTGAGCAAGTCTCAGGTTTCTACGGCTTCAGGCAAAAAGAAGAGGAAGAAAAGGAAAAGCAAAAAGAAAGGAGGTCCTCAAGAGAACAAGAATCAACAAATTGAGAAGGAAAACGACAATACGACAGAGAAATCTGTCAGTCAAACCTTGGAGACACCACAGTTGYATCAGGTCGATCAAGAACCAGGAGAACCTGCTGAAAACTGCTCCCTGAAGGAACCTCTCCAGAAGAAATCTCTGCAGAAGGAACCTCTGCAGGAGGAACCTCTCCAGAACAAACCTCTGCAGGAGGAACCTCTCCAGAAGAAGGAACCTCTCCAGGAACCGATGGAGGATGGTGTTTCTGACAAGCGTGACAAAAAGGAAACCATCAACACCAAGACTTTAGAAGAAGCTGATTCTGTTGGATCTTCTGAAGCACTTGTTGAAGCACACATGGAGAACGTTAAGGTCCTACAGGAGGAAGGAGCTTCAGAATGGGATAACATCAACAAGGCAGAACTAGCGGAACCTCCTGAAAGCTTTCCTAACAGTAAAACAACCCAAGAACSAACGGATCAGGTTTCTGAAGAGCCTGACGAAGAAGGTAGAACTGAAATCAAAGAAAATGTTGAAACTCTCAAAGAAGGAAGAGCAGAYGATCTACAGAAGGAAGAAACTGAGAAGGTGGAGTCGGCAGAAACTGGAGAACCTTCTGAAGACCAAAGGGAACCTCTCCAAGAACCAAACACTGATCAGGTTTTAGTTAAAGAGGTTGAAGCTGTGGTAACACCATGTCACATGGAAACACTCAACGAAGCCAAGGTTGAAGAGTCTTTGGAGACTGAGAAAGTAGACTCAGGAGGATCTCCTGAACGTTTCTCTCCAGAGGAACCTCTCCAAGAACCAAACACAGATCAGGTTGTKGACAAAGTAGTTGAATGTACGAGAGCTTCTGAAATGCCGTGCCACATGAAAACACTCGACCAATCAGGAGCAGACGATGTCCAGAAAAAAGAAGAAACTTCAGAAACTCAAAAAGTAGAATCAGGAGAATTTCCTGGAAGTTTCTCTCCAGAGAAYCCAAACGTGGATCAAGTTTCAGACGAGCGCAGCGAAGGGAGAACAATCAACGCCGAGACGGGAGGAACGCTCATCGAAGACGGCGTGGAGCTCATCGGAGATGAACGGAACCATGAAGAACCTTTGAAAGTACCAAAAATAGAATCAGAGGAACAAAGTTCTTCTTTGGTCGAATCGTTGGAGAAATCCAAAACGGGTGAAGAGGACGATGGAGAAACAGGATCTACCAGTAGTCTGGAACCAAAGACTGAGATCACCGAAGACCCCAGCAGAGAGCTGACCASTGGAGGGGTCCAGACCTGGTCAGACCCTGAAGGGGATCAGATCGGTACAAACAATGAAGCTGAAGATCCAGATGAGGATGAACACGATGCTGATCCATCTGAGGCTAAAGATGGAAACTCTCCACCATCTAACCATGATGATGATGATGGTCTGCCCAAGAAAGAGGCTGATGAAGACGTTTCTCCACAAGGAGATGAACCACAGCTGAAAGAAAACACAACGGAGAACCAGGAACCAAACAAAGARGAGGCGGACTCTGGAGGTCCACCAGAGCAGGACTGCTCTGGACCCAGGAGAACGTCAACAGGAACTAAAGGTTCTGATGGTCCAAACGGGACAGAAACCAGAACAAACCACTCTGCTGCAGCGGAGGAAACAGCTTTTCATGAACATCCAGAACCTGAAGAAGCTCAACAAGATGAGGAAATTGGGTCTTCTGGGTCTTCTGGTCTTGGTTCTTCACCTGAGCAGATCCAGGAAGACCAGGGTCTCGATTCACCTCGATCCTCGCAGCAGGATGAGGAGGAAGAGGAAGGGCAGTCTTTTGACTTTGATGATATGGATATAGAAGCGGCAGTAGAAGTCGTTAGTCCAGAGGAGGGAGCTGAGGTCACGTCAGGTGAGAACCAACCAGCAGGTGGCAGCGGTGAGACCAGGACTGATGAGGTGGACCTCGTCGCTCCTCAAGAAAACTCTCCGCCTGACGAGGTGGAAAACAAGGAGAAACAAAACCCAACACAGGGAGAAGAAACGGTTTCGGAGAATAAGAGCACGTCTGCATCAGTGGAGGAAGYACTGGACGCCATGAAGCAGGACATGGATTCACCAAAGATTGTAGAAGAAAATGTTACAAACAAAGACGCTCCGCAGTCGGGGAAACACGCMAAAAAGAGTCAGAAGAAAGGCAAGGGGAAGGAGGACTGTAAGATGTCCTAACCATCTCTCTTTAGCTCTGAAAGTGTTAAAAAAAAATCACGCAAAGCCTTGCTGCACTTTTATTTTGAAAAGTTGTGTGTTTATTTATGTTTTATTTTCTTTATTTTTGACAAAAGTCATCAAACAAAAAGCAAACTTGAGTGGGGAGAATTGTGGTGTGATTGCAGGTTGGTGGTTTTATTTTGTTGATGTCACACAGGCTCCACCCACATTGTGCCAGGTAGACAGGCTCCGCCCACACTGCGCTAGGTAGCTGTAAAAACACCTGGTTTGGGGGGGTCAGAGGTTATGGTAAGGCAGTGCTCAGCTGATTTAAATGAATGAGTTCRGCAGAACTTGAAGACCTGCTAAAGAGCAGGAAAACAACTGAAACATGTCAGGAGGACCAGGTGGTCCTGGTGGGTCAGGACTCAGGTCCACCACAGGAAGGGGTTTAGTTAAAGGGAAACAGTCCAGTTAGGATCAATTATGTTTGTAGACCGTCCTGGGGGGTAATGTTTGCTGGGTAAGGCTGGGATTGAACCAACAACTCTTAAACTATTAACGTGGGTGTTATGTCCACCTAGTGGTGGGCTCTGGTATTACAGYTGGATGAAAAAGGAGAATATCAAATTAAAAATATCTGCTTTTGTGCAGACYGGACCACATGTTGTTAACAGCCTCATTTTTATTTTTCATTCCAGTAAAGTTACACGTATTAATGTTTTTTTTTTTAACTTTGGGACTCAAAAAAATAAGATTTTGATCTGTTTTATTTTCCACACTTCCTGTTTGTGTCTTTGGATTTTGGAGGAAGAATGTTTTTGTTTTTGTTGCTAATATGTTGCTCTCAATAAAAACCTATGATGGGATTTATTTTATTAAGTCTTTTTTTAACGATTGCACAGATCTTCAATAATCGGGTCACGGCCCTCTAGTGGGCATGTGGAYGTACTGCAGGGGGTTCATAAGATAATTGGTTTACTCAACGTTTTTATTATACATTTTTTTTAATTTCAGAGTTATTTCTCAGTATCAAATGCATGTTTTATGTAGTTTTATGTAGTTTTGTTTTAGCACTAAGCCTAGTTCATTATAAAACCAGTTTGTGAGGTTCTGGTGGTGAAGGAAAGTGTGTATTTATATGTATTTTTCCTCCAGTAGCCTACYTCAGAGTCATTGCAGACCCCTGCCTTGTTATAAACTGTGTGTAGTTGAAGTGGCGTGCATGCGCATGCTAACACCCCTCACATGCTCCACCCCTTCCCCCACCTCCACCTCCACCTCCACCGTGGATGCCTGCTCTGTTGCATGCATCAGCCCTCCCTCCCCACCGTTTCCTGGGCTCCTCCTGTCCCCGGTACGTTCATTTCATTTTCCTCTCACAGATAATATCAGTTGTTTCTGATTCGATTTGTGACGTTCTGTTGTGTGCAAAAGTCTTAAACCTTCTGAGCGTCTCAGTTGCTGATTTATCTCCCAGTTTCAATCATTTTCAAATGATCTGAACTCAAGGGATGGACCGGACTTGTTCCTCTTTCTTTAACTGGTTGCATGGAGCTAAAGTCCTGTTATGTGTCGAACTCTGGTTCATCCTCAGAGGAKCTGAAACTGGGTGAAAAGCAGCCGATTCAATAACAGTAACATATGAGATTAAGTGTTAATTTAAAGATTACAGAACATCTGGCTGCTTGGTGGGAAAATAAAAGAAACACAGTCTGGATTAAGACTTTTGCACAGAACTGTCCCGTTTCTGTAGGTTTTCACCTGTCGGCTTCACTTTCAGAGATACGCCTCCGAAAACTGGTGGATGAGCGGGAAAAGATGATTGAGCAGGTGACTCATCCAACCAAACATCCAACCATCCATCCAAACATCCAACCATTTAAACATCCAATCATCCAACCAAACATCCAACCATCCATCCATCCAACCAAACATCCATCCAACCACACATCCACCATCCATCCATTCATCCAACCAATTATCATCCATCCATTCATCCAACCAATTATCCATCATCCATCCAACCAAACATCCAACCATCCATCCATCCAACCACACATCCAATATTCATCCATTCATCCAACCAATTATCATCCATCCATTCATCCAATCAATTATCATCCATCCATTCATCCAACCAATTATCCATCCAAACATCCATCCATTAATCCAATCAATTATCATCCAACCATTTACCATCCAACCAATTATCCATCATCCATCCAACCAAACATCCATCCATCCAACCAAATATCCAACCATTTAAACATCCAATCATCCAACCAAACATCCAAACATCCATCCATCCAACCACACATCCAATATCCATCCATTCATCCAACCAATTATCATCCATCCATTAATCCAACCAATTATCATCCAACCATTTACCATCCAACCAATTATCCATCATCCATCCAACCAAACATCTATCCATTCATCCAACCAATTATCATCCAACCAACCATTCATCCAAACATCCACCCATTCATCCAACCAATTATCATTTAACCATCCATCCATCCATTCATCCAACCAAACATCCATCCATCCAACTAATTATCATCCAACCAAACATCCATCATCCATCCAACCAAACATACATCCATCCAACCAATTATCATCCAACCATCCATTCATCCAACCAAACATCCAACCAACCATCAATCTGTCCAACCAATTATCATCCATCCATCCATCCATTTAAACATCCATCCATCCATTTGTTTAATCATTTAAAACATTTTGATCAACATAATTTCTTTAAATAAACTTCCACTTTCTTGCAGGCAAACATTTGAAAGGTTTAGTTTGAAATGCAGAAACTTTTTTTCCAGGTAAAGAAACTGAAGGCCCAGCTGGACCAGAAGGTCCAGAAGAACGGTGCAGACAGCGGTTCTAGTCCAGACGGGGAAATAATTGAAAACGGCAATGACCCAAACATCATGGATCTGCAGCGTAGGTGTTCATGTGTTAAACAAACAGTTCTGTGGAGTTTAAAGTCTGAAATAATTATAATTATTCCTCTTCAGGAGACTCCAGCAGGCAAATAAATGACCTGAAGTTCAAACTGGTGAAAGTGGAACAAGAGGCCACGGCTTTAGAACAAAACGTGAGAAGATTCCTCCTCAGAGCTGTTTTTGTTGCTTCTACCWGTCGTCTGACGTGTTGCTTCCTGTCCAGGTGAGCAGGCTGGAGGGCCAGGTGACGCGTTACAAYTCTGCTGCGGAGAACGCAGAGAAAGTGGAGGACGAGCTGAAGGCGGAGAAACGCAAACTGCAGAGAGAGGCAGGACGTTTGGTTCTGARGTCAACCAGAGGTGAGCTGCTTTAAATGGACCATCTAACCCGGCTCTGTCCTCGTTTGACCCCGCAGCTGCGATCGGCGCTGGATAAGATCGAAGAGCTGGAGTCCAGCAACAGCCACCTGTGTAAGAGGCTGGAGAAGATGAAGACCACCCGCGGCATGGCTCAGACCCCGTAAGAACCGAGGAGCCACGTCTCATCCACCTGCCTGAGGGAAACTTTCAGAAAGTTCAGCCTAGTTTTCACCCAGTAGAAGACTTCGTCATGAAACGTGCCATTTTTTGTTCTCCTTCTCCCGTCGGAGGGGAGTTCTTCGTGAAGTCGTGCTCAACATGGCTGCTCTGTTTTCTGCTGCTTCTCTTCGACACGTGGAGGAATTTAAAACAGAGGCCTGGTTAACGTTTGCGTCCAGCGTTTCTCCCCTTTTCGCACCCAAAGCCCGTCTTTTTCTAGCGTTTCGGTTSGGGGCGACCCGAACGGCACGTTTTTAGGATGAACGAGTTCCTGAGGCTCAGCTGCAGCTTTCAGCTCCTCTCTTTAAGCACAAACACTGTCGAGCTTCTGTCTGCTTCATGTAGTCGGTCACTGGTTGGCTCGTGTGTGGAGACGCTGGGGGGGGACGCTGTTCACTGTTTACAAAGCTTTAAAACCATGTTTGTAAGGACACATGAAGAACTGTAACCTTTGTGCAATAAAAAGGTCAAAAATATGGACGTTCAGCTTCGTGTTTTCACTTTTATCAGACGATTAAGAGCTGCCGTTTGTAAAGTTACAGTCAAAAATTACCACCAATATTTTTGTTTTATTTAACCTTTTATAAGAAAAAAAGAACAGATTTATTTTTCAAAGTCAGTTTTTCACCATATGATTCATACATTTATAAATGTCATAG